AAGTCCTCTATGTTTTGATATGGGGAGGATATGAGGGTAGTAGTAAACAGAACATGCTCACTTTTCTCACAACCATTCTCAGGAAACTGAGTAGTATTACTCTTCAGGATATGGGAAGGAGCGTTTGACTCATACAAAAAGTGAATTTTGAGTTGTATGTGAAAAAGTGACAGAGACTTCAAGAAAAAGGATGCCAGGTTACACTGTTCAAGTGAATAAACTTGGAATGCACACTCCTCATTTCTGTCACATGCACAAAGAACTAGTTCCAGAATCAACCAAGCGAGTATGTAACTATACAAAACATTTTGCTTGCACAAAGACCATCTTTGCAGGCTCTCAGTTTCTCCTTGTTGCCCATTTCAACTGTATAAGCCCAAGAGAATGTCAACATTTAAAAAGGCACAATTTTAAAACACTATCTAGTTTATGCATGGTATGATCAACACATCAGAACAGATCCTACAGGCATTTTATATGAAAAGTCATGATATTTGCTAAAGTCCTGAATAATTATCACTGGCAAAGAGTTTATTTCTGTTTCCAGAGATGTCAGTAAGAACTCTGCCTAACGGTGCATATATACATTTCTAAGTAGATTGCACAGGTACATGTACATACCGTAAGAAAATCCCATCTCATCCATGTTTGTTTCATGAAGAAAAAATACACTGTAAGCAGCTTTCAATTGCCTCCTACTGTTATTGCTCAGACTTACAGGAAGGTTTTCTATGATTTCTCCATTCTAAAGCCGGCTAGCACTTCACAAAGACCAATCAGCACACCACTCCATAATTATCACTGTACCGATTACAACTGCCTATGTATGTTCAAAATAACATTCACATAGAAAAGCAGATGTTTCCACTTGCTGCTTTAGCAATTGAGAAGAAAACTAAGGCTGCGTATCCAACTCTTTCTAGACCTTTGCAAGAAGCATTGTTTTTGTAAGTAGCGTATTTTTATTTATAATTACAAACAATTGATATAAAGCACACATATTTCAAAAGGAGTGTATGTAACGATAAATGGTACCAAGGCTACTTGTTCAATTACATAAGTATTAAATCATGAGTTGCACAGTGCTTTTTCTGCAGTATAAACACGTATTATAAGAAGACCACACTGAAGTCACCCCTCTAAAATTCATAAAACCTTTCCCTCACGAAGAAAATAATCTTGGGCTGGTAAACAGCTCATAAACATTACAGTTTCATAGAAATCTTTACTGAAAACTTGGAAAATGTCTAGAACTGGAACTTGTTAACTAGCTTATCACTTGTGCCATGTGATAACCTAATCCCTAACAAGATTTACAAAAGGGATTTATGGATCCTCCAGCTGATCTATGGGTGATGTGCATTTATTCATACATGAGGGGCTAGGATTTTTTTTGATGCTTTGAAAGCAGAAGAAATTTATCTTCAGTGACTCATTAGAGGTGTGCAAAACCTGCAGAATGCATCAAAATACTCTATTTTTTGCAATATCATTAAATAAATACACACAAATCCATATAGGATATATTATTCAACCTTGTATAAGGAATGATCAAAGTCATCACATGATGTTTCTACTTATAATATGCAGCAAAAAATAAAGACATAGAAAAAAAGGTGGAAAACCCGCTGTTTTGTTTCCAGCGTATTAAGAGATATTTTCATACCAGCATAGTTACAGTTAAACACATGCAGATGAATATATTTTTAAGTAGGCGTTTAAAAAAATGGCTCCTCCTGATAAATAGAAAGTAGGGAAGAATTTTCTATGTTATTTTGCTTACTCACAAGGAAAATCCACTTAACACCTGAAGAACTTGAGAGATCATGAAAAGATCAGTACTCAGGAAGAAAAACCTAAATTGCTGAGAGGTATTTTTAGCCAGTTGTTGAAAAATCTTTAACTATTTTACTTCATCTTTAATATTCATTTAGTTCACACCTGAAGAAAACAATTTGGAGGAAAGTGCTCTGTTTTCAAAAAGGCATTCTGCTTCTTTATTTCAGAGCATGCGACTGAAACAGGATGTCCATACTTAGCATGACCACAATCGCATAATGTGAATAGCTTTACTGAATGCAAGGGTAGCTTGCATTGTAGAAATCTGTTCAATGAAAGTAAAATGTTACAATACAACTGAGAAAAGCACATTACTTTTCCCCCCCTCTGAAACAGTACTTCATCAAAACAAGAAATTCAACAGTTGCTGCTACTGGTTTCTAAGATGAAAAACATGAAATAAAACGAAAAAAAACAAACAATTGAACAACTGAAGCTGACAAGCTTGCAGTAGACAGCAGAAAAAAAAAGCCAATTTTTTAAATACATCACCTTACAGAAAGATCACAGTAGATGCAATTTTAAAAATCCTTTCCACTTTACATTTAACAAATAAACTATCTTAATTCTTCATAATATGTGTAAGACTGGCTAAGCAAAACTTATCTTAACAGGTCAAATAAATGACTGTACAAGACAGTTAAACCATGGTTTCATCTAGTACTATGGATATTAGTTAATTACTTTCAGGCAATAGAATGAGTTATGAACACAATTAAAGCAAAGTTAGGCATTACTCTTGCAGTGCAATAGAAAAGTATTTTAAGCATGATATTGAAGATCCAAGTCATAAAAGAGCGTTACAAGGCTTTAAATTCAGAACTCCTGGAGTTACGAAGTTCATTGTATTACAACATCCATAAAACCAGAAGGATTCTTTGTATATGGTTAAATAAGCTGAAATGAAAAGATTCTATGTTATAATCAGTAATATTTTCCCTATAGTTAGTGACTGAAAATTTTAAGTTCAGGGACCATCATTCAAAATCCAGAAACAAGCACTTCACTCAGATATACAGTACAGTACAAATTTGACCTAGAAGAACAGATTTTCTGCTTTAGCTTATAAAATTGCCCTTATGTGTCCACAAAATGGTGCAACCGATTACATTTAATTTAATGGATCTGTCTTTCAGCCATGTATCTTTTTGGTTAAAAAACCCAAGCGTATACAACTACCTTCTCTCAAGACTGTATAAAAGTGATAACAATTTGGTAGTCATACTCAAAAAGCATGCTATGATATAAACTTTCTGCCAATTTTAAGTCACAATATAATTGTGATTAGTAAATAAAAATTAACTGTACCAATTTTATTACAGGGATACATGGTGAAGCTCAATGCAATGAATTTTGTAAAGGTGTTTTTAGGTCTTCCTGTGTAAGATATTACTATAAAATAGTAGTAACATCTAACACTATATAAATGTTTGTAGTAGTTGGTTTCAAATGACTCAAATAAGGTCAACTTTACAGAAATGCAAAATAATACTGGGAATTATTATTCATTTATAGCCCTCATAGTTATAATATGAGAAAAAAAGATATTTGTACTTTTCTTCCTTCTATTTCAATTTCTTGCACAAAGAGAACTGCCTTTAGCAGAAATCCCTTTTAACACACTACAATCATGTAGTGTATTATCCAATGCAGTTTTTTCTCTAATAAAAGGACCCATATAAGAGTGAATAGCACTCCTAGAACCAGTGAACAACAAGAGAAGAAAAATCATTATACAACTTCATGACTGTCACAGAAAATGAGGAGGAACAACAACTTTGTCCACTACTGTTTTGAGATTCTACCCTACGACCAATAGAAGTGGTTAGACATTTCTAAATACACTTTCATTTGATTTTATTTTTTTGTTTGTTTCTTTTGCCAATCCCTACAGAGTTACAAGCAGAAAAACTGCCCTTGGACAAAACAATTTTTATTTCTTTTTATATCATAGCAATTGCATACATCTGTAACTTGCAAAGCTTTGGGTTCACAGATCAAAATTCCATCTTCACAAACAAAACACTCCCATTTCACACAAGGTCTATTTAAAAGCCTGCCTTAGCTTTCACAGAAACTGTATTTTCACATCTAAAACAATGTAGTCTCATTAAAAAATTACTTCCTATCTAAACTACGTAAGTTTCCAGAATTTCTTTCACTGAGAACTAAAACTATTCATAATACTAACTTTTTACATGGCCAGGAAAAAAAATATCCATCAAACTACAAATCACTGTATTAAGAAATAGCATCAAAAGATGTGTGTACCTCAATGATCCAAAAGGCTACCAGCAGGTCATCTCTCTTCTACTGAATTCCTAAAGAGGAACTTGAAAGACTTGGAGTTTAACATAAAGCAGTCAGACCAGTTCACAACATTGCTTTCATTTCTTCATATTCTCATATACATATTTCTGACACATTCCCTCATTATATACATCTTTAAGCTCCAGACTCCTCGGGATAAATACGCTTTTTTCATAGTTAAGCTACCTGAACACACCTTTCTTGTGGAAACCTCATGACATTATTACAAATCTAGGTTAGTTTGGGATGACTCCAGGCTGCATATCTGATTCAAACAGCAGAAACCAGCTAATCATCCATCTCTTTCTTCCTACACACATCTGCAAACTGTGATCAAGTCTATCGACTTTTTTAGGAATTAATTACTGAGGGAAAGATGGCAGTGGTTTATTGTGCAGCACCATGAACACTTGCAATAAAATCAGCAGCATTACTTCAGAGTAATCTACAAGAAACTGTATTCTTCTAAAAGCAGAAATGGAATACAGGAGAAGTCATATTTTTGACTGCTGCTCATTAAACAACCAAGTAATCGGTTAAATCCCTGACTACGCACTATTGCTCCAGGAACCTGTGTTAGCCTCTCTAAAATGATCGGTTCAAGAGTTTATCTAAGAGAAACAAGTAAACATGATTCTACCATTTCTGAGTAAGAGAAGTTATTTTACTACACAGCAGCATCTAGAGAGTTAATCAACCAAATCTTCTTACCACCTGTCTCTTAGATTGAAATGACCACCTAAGGTCTTTAGTAAAGAACAAATCCTGGGGAATTAAGTCTTGGACCTGGATGCATTAGAAATAGAACAGCTTCCTTTCCCACCACCCATGTTCAATGAATTTATACTCACCCTCTGAGTGATGCTTTTTCCCTCTTTGACTTGCACTGCCAATCCAAGATCAGACAGTCTGCAATTGCCATTATCATCCAGGAGGACATTTTCTGGTTTCATGTCCCGGTACACAATCTTGATAGAATGGAGATGTAGAATCCCGCAAGTGATCTGAGCTGAGTAATAGATGACCCTCTTCATTTCCAAACCCCTTTCTCCTACATTGTAGATGTGGTACTTCAAATCCCCTCCATTCATGAGGCTCATAACAAGACATAGATGGCTTTTGCTCTCATAAGCATAAGCTAGTGTGACTATGAAAGGGCTGTTGACCTTCTCCAGGATCTCTTTCTCCAGTAATGCCATCTTCTCTCCACCTTTCTTTTTCAACCTCTTCTTATCCAGTTTCTTGCAGGCATACATCTTGCCAGTATTTTTCACCTGGATGGCACAAACCTAGACAAGCAAGATGCAGGCAGAAAGGTAATGAAGGAATTTTATACATACAGACTATAGAGCATCAAGACAGGAACTGGGGAATCACAGATACCTATTAGTAGCTGCTGAAGCTAACTTCTATGGTGGAGCATATTAGCAGAGAAAATCAGCATAAAACCAAGTGTACAATCTGCTTTGTTCAGGATCAGTGTATGGTGCACCTCACGCAAAGTTCTTGAGGATACCATTAAGAGACTTGTATTAGCAAATAAAAGGAACAATTCTCTGTCCATAAGGATATGTGGCATATATAGCTTGCACCTGTATAGCTAGTCTTCCATCTGGACAAAAGTAGCTTCATTCATACTGTGTTTGGGAACAGATCCTAATCTGTGCTATTCCCTAAACCACATCTAGAATTATCTGGGAGTGCATGCTAGCACAGGCTAAGAAGGTGCTAAGGAGAATACTAATGATTAAATATATGAACAGTCACACAAGCTTTTGTAAAGAAACTTGCTTTTTTACTAGCATAGACAGAACATAAAAGTTCTAGAGTAGCTCTTCACTAACAGGTATCTGGACCCTGTATCGCAGATAAACTCAGGCTAAGTTTTGTGAAATGGACAATCTGAAGGAGCAAGTTTTGCAAAACCTTAGATAACTACTTAACCCATTGCAAGCTCCTCTTTGCAAACCCAACTGCTGCTCTTGAAAGGGAAGGAATGACCCACATCTGTAAAAGTATAGCTCTTACCTCTCCAAAGCCACCTTTGCCCAGCACTCGGTACTCATAGAAGTATTTTTCAGTTACTGGCTGCTTCTCAAAAACTTTCCATTGGAGGAATTTGTCATAGAAGGGGCTGGTCTGGAAGTCCTGGAACGGCTTGCCTTTAAGGAAGAGCTTGGTTTCCTCCTTGGCCATCTGCACAACATTCTCATAGTCATTTGCAGTAGCTGCCAGGCATTTGCTGGCCAAGTCAGAGCTCATGAAAGCCAGATAGTTTTTGGAGCCTGTCTTAAGAAAATTGGTGATCATACTCTCCATGGTACTGCTCTTGACATTGTCCTCTGCCAACTCCCAGTTTGACACCTCATCCAGGAAGTCCTTAGCTACCAAATACTCTGGCACTGTCTCTAAGAAATCTCTGAAGAATCTCTTGCCAATGGGCTGCTGCTCACAGATGTTGTCATAATCAGCAACAATGGACTGTCTAACATCTCTGCACTGATCAACCTTGGGCAGCGAGAGGCTCCTACGTCTCTTTTGCATCTCCTTTGTGTCTCCATCTCCACTCTTCCTTGCCTGCAGATAGGCTGTGTTGGCAATCAGGTTGTCAAGCCCCCCCATGTCACACATCTTGACAAGCTCTTGGGGTGGCAGAGCCTGGTTGAAATAAAATGAGAAACTAGCCCAAGTGCTGTGCTACAGCTGCCCTGCACTTCCTCCTTGCTGGTGGTGCGTGCAGGCTTCTAAACAACACCACAGACTAACTGCTTTTGCATTAAATACCTCTGAAGGATTTTGACTAAGTACTTTTAGGTGCATGCACCATTTGTGGAAAGTGACTGGTAAGAGGTTTCTCTGTAAGGAGCTTTGAGTTTGCTATGTATAGCTGAGGGATGACATCCTAGGCAAGCCTTTTCATTGGCAGCATCAAATGCATGCTGTTCAGCTGGTGTTTTTTCGAATGGGCCCCGATAACCTTTATGTGTATGAAGATATCCTCTATATGCACTGTCCCTGGCTGCTGAGAACATGCAGATTCATGTTTGCAATATGTGCACACTCCAAACTTAGTGGCACACTGGCTGCAGTTAACAGGACAGTCTTGCATCAACTTTGCTCAATACACAGAACACCAATGTACTAAGAATTATTTAAGTTTGGATCTGATTTCATAAAAAGCTTTTATCACATATCCGCCATGTCTGAAACAGAAGTTGACACAGATGAAGACAGAATCATAGAATGGCTTGGGTTGGAAGTGACTTTAAAGATCACCTAGTTCCAACCCCGCTGCCACAGGCAGGGACATCATGAGGCACTGAACTTAAAATTATCACACAATTCAGTGCTTTGAGCATCCATGCTTCCACAACTCAAATTACACTCAACATCAATGACTGAGCTCCACAGATACCTCACGCAAACCTTGATGCCTCATGTGGCTCTGTCTGAGCGGATTACATGCAGAGGCTAAGACCTGCTGCTGTTCTAAAAATAATGATCCCTATATACAAAACATAGTTCTGACTTCATATCCTACTCACAGAAAAAAAGAACACTTCAAATGACCAGCCAAATCTTGCCAAGACACTGCCAGATGCAACTGTGGCCTCAGTTTATTTTCCCTGCTGAGCTTTATGACAGTAAGTGGCAGATAGCAACAGTGTATGGTTGAGGTGACATCAACAAAAGAACAAAGCTGATTATAATCAAGTGAAGGCAAATTCCACCTGACTACCAGGAAGCCTGTGCCCCATTTTTTCCCCAAAAGAAAAATTATGTGTTGCATTTACGGGGCTAAGCCCCCTTCTGTCATGTGTCATGCAATTTTGCTGCTAAAGCTTTCTTTGGATATAAGGAAGGTATTTACGGCATCAGGAAAAGCAGTTCCATGATTCTTCCAGTAGCAATGAGGTCAAGCCACACTCCTGAGGTCAAGGTCAAGTTCCCTTTTCTCTTTTTTCTTCTCTTTTTTCACTCTTAGAGCACACTGAAGAGCTGAATCACAAATACTAACATCAGGAGTAACAACAGGCACCTCTAAGACTCCCAACAGTAAGTGCTAAGCCCTTCTTTGCTGCTTTTTGTCACTCTATGTAGTATTTTGGTTTTCCATGCTTAACCCTGCCTGCATTGAATAGATTTGGCATAAAACTCATGCTTATTCTCTACAAAAATTACATTAGCAGCGTGTTTTTCTAGCTGTGATTGAGAGAGCCATCCATCACAAACTGCTATGTGTGCAGAACACAGTGTACTCTAAAGCTGAGTACTTCAAAGTCTTGCTGGTACAGCAGTCATTAATTCTACCAGGTGAATGCAAGCACCATGCAGGGGATTACATAAATGACTAAACAATGCAGCTAGTACGAGCAGAGAAAGCAAAACTGGAAAAATTCAGAGGAAGAACTGTGGAATTCTTCTGGTGGTTTTCCTGAAATAAGTGCCTACAGCAACATATTCCCATAACATCCTGGGTACAGAAGAGCAAGAACGGAGGCAATAAAAATTCATCAAAGCCTATTTTGCAGTTAACAAGAATGCTATCAGAGCTCGAACAGCAGTACAAATCGCTGGTAGATGGGGACCTGAGGGTGAACTCAAGCTTACACCAGCTGCTGATATATTCACGTCTAAGCAAATCAAGAAAACACCTGATGTTTATAGTACCTGTGCAAGAAAGACACATTCAGAGCTCTAAAAATCATTCTGCTGTGTTAATGAGAATCCCAATTCGTATGGAACATAAACTTTCTCTAAAAGAACATAGCTTCATAAAAAGCAAAGTGAAAAAGTATGCTCTTTGGATGCATATTCATAACTCCAATCATTTCTGAGAAGACTCTAGCAAGATATGCCCATCATTTATTAAACAACAGATAAAAGCAGATCAGCATTAATCTACCGGTCAATAATGACTATTTAAGTTCATGTTACCTACTAATAAAACAGTATATTTGGGTGAGAAGCAAAATTGATCTGGTTTGCATGGACAAGAGGTGAACAAATTCAGGACTAAAAATGGTACTTAATAAGAACTACACTAATGGAATGTCAGGGAATGTTTTGGAACGGAAGAAAATTTCTCTGATCCAGAGCTTGTAGAAAGACTGGGACTTCAGCTAATCTCAGAAAAAATATGCAAGACATAATTTATTACCTTTTGTTCTAGGTGAACCTCTAGTTACTACTCAAAAAGATACACAACTATCAGCTGCTTTGATTTCAACATTAACCATCCTCATCTGCGTAAACGCCTATTTGAGCCGACACTTTGGAAAGCTCTTCTACAATTATTTGCTGCTCTTGTCACGCAGGTGATGTGAACAGAAAGCAGAGTGAAAATTACTCTGGTACTTTCCATATTCACCTACAAACCAAAGCAAAATGAAGAAAGAAGCCCTCTGATGGGACTAGATGGAATTAACAGAGGTTAGAAGATTGAGCCTGGGACCATTTTGGCACAGAAAATAGGTGGTAAATAGATATAGCTTCACTTTGACAGATAAAACCTATTTCCACATCCCATCAGATTTTTTCTCAGTCATTTTAGGAAGAATCATTTTACACAAATACTCCTCAACAACATAAGGGCTAAAGGCACTTCATTACTACTGTTAACCTATTTTATAGTTGTTTTCAATTTTAAGACAGACATCATCTGCGACAATAACAACCAATGTCATACAATGTAACAGTGACAGAGAAAATTCTTTGATCTCAGTTTGTAATGAAACAGAAGTTATATTTTAAAAAATCAAAATATTTTAAAAACAAGATTACAAGTATTAAACAAAACCACAGTAAACTCTACATGTATGCTTGATGACACAGACTGACATTGGAACTTTTTTATACAGAGAAGATAAACCCCTTTAAATAAACAGAACTAGACAGAAATACATCTGCTAAGAGATGCATTAAACATTTAAGATGATAACTTTAAAGTAAACTTGATATGCATATAATATTTTTTCAATTTCACCCAGGTTTATTATCCATTTTAACAAGCCTGAATTTGTTACAGATTTAAAGCAATAATCCAACCCATTATATATATTTAAAAAAATAATCCCACATCATATGGTCAGATTAATAGTAATTACTTTGGATATTTAGGGAAAATCAAAGTCAGAGGCAAGCACTTAAATATTTGTAAGAAAAAAAACATGATTCATATATATATAAAAAATGCTGTATTGAGAATTTCCACAAAAATTACATGCTTTCTCCCACTTCCAAAACATTGTAACCAACAAAATGATGATAAATTTCTATTAACTGAATTTTCACGGAAAACAATTAAACATTTTTCCCTCGATTTAATTAATACCTGCTTTCCTTGGGATTATTAAATTACTAGTTTTGTTGGCCTTCTATATTAGTCAGCTAACCAGCAGGATTGTTTATGCCCCCAGACAACTGATATCAAATACATGTCTTTGTACCAAAAGTCTCTGGATTAAATATACATGTCTCAATTATCTTTAACAGAAATAGAAATTAAAGAATTATGAATGGAGTTAAATTTTAATGCTATAGTTGTGAAAATCATGCATAGAATATAATGTAGCGACAGAGATACAAGAAAACAAAATTTTCTGAAGTCATAAAAGCTAAATTAGAAATGTTTAGTATAGTGTGATAGAAAAAGCATATAGCAAATGCTTTACACAATATTTAGATTAAAACCCAGAATACTTCCTAAAAAACTCTCACTGACTGTTTTTGTATACAGTATTACTCAGAAAACAATTTCTTGATCCTGACAGTAAACTATGCAGTGTTTCAGACTTACACGTAAGGTCACCCTTGCAAGTTAATTCATTTACCTGAACAAAAACATTAAATAAACTGTATTTAGGGTATAATCTGCACTACCACACTTCTATGCTCTGATACAGTTAACACTCAAATCATAACAGATACATTTGTTAACGTAGTGTCTCTTGGCTTTTTTATTGTGGAAACATCCGCAGTAAGACTGACCATTCCCTCCTGGTACAGCAATCAGCATACGACAAAGCCACACCTATCTTCTAGCAGATAAAACTAAATAAATCATGCCACGATTGACATGTTCCATTCTTCTGCAGGAGCATAAGGTGTCAGACATACACTGCTTCAATAAGTTTGACACAAAAAAAAACCACCAACTTCCAGTGTTTTTATTTGCCTATTCTCTGGACTACCCAGTCCTGCTGGCAGAGGGGACAGCGATTATTCTGTTTCACCCACAGGGACATGCAGCAATTGTGGAAGGAATGATTGCATTCTCCCCAAACCACTGAAAAAGAAGAAAGAACACATTCCAGTCACACTCAGCTGTCCAATTAACACCTACTGCAAGGTCCAAACTATCATTCTCAGATGTTTATAACCACTGCAAGCTGCAGAGACAAAACGGGTCATCACTGATTTACCCACTGAGACTGGCTTATTATGATCATTAGGATACTAGTCAGTTCTCTATCATCAATCCTTTTACTTATTTCCAATTACCAACAAAGAAATGCATATATTCTCACTTTCTTGTACAAAGCAACACAGTTTTGTGAATGTATAAACACATTTATCAGTTCTGCCCAGGAAGTAAGTTCAACTATCCAAGTTCTTCACTTTATCTTCCCCAGTACCAAACTATAGCCAAGGCACTATTATCATGAAAGACCATATCACCAAATTCTGACCTGAAATGCTGTGTTTAAACTTAAATGTATGACATCAAGGAAGCACATTTCATACAATATATAGCCTCAAAATGGGATCTTAGACCAGAAGTTATTCATAGGCTACAACTCTTTCAACACAACAAGAAGTGTCCATCTACTCCTGAACAGTATTAGTTACTTTGTTTTCACCTTATTAGTTCATATTCTTCTTACTACAATACAAGGGTACTACTCAAATGAGTGTTGTAAATTATGTTCTGGGTTTGTTTTCCTCTCTGACTATCTTAAATAGGACACTCAGCAAGCCAATTAAGATACATGGCACAGCAAATCCCTTTTCTCATTAAAACAATCATCAAAACCAACAGTGGATTAAGTTTGAGAGAATATACTTCAAGACAGAAAGAATAAGCAAGGCTTAACCACTGGTTTAAAAGTTGACTTAAAGATTTAAAGCAAACTGAGACAATTTTCACTATTTCAGATTTAAATACACCACAATAAAGATTTGCTTTTGCATATATTGGTATGCAACTGAAAGTATATTTATGATTAAAGAGCATTATGGAAAACTCAAGTGATTCCACTTTTTGAAATGAAGAATGAACAAACAAGCAATTGTCTCCACTATGTCTGAATTAAGACTGCAAAAAATACCACTTTCTAACCCCCTAACCCAGACACACTTGATTTCAGAACAGAGGATTTTTATTGGTATTACCATTGTGTCTTCTGGCATGCATCTCAGAAAAAAAAAAAAAAAAAAAAAAAGAAGCAGCCTGTTCCTAACCACTTCAAAAGTGTACATTATGATCGCCCCAACTACACTCAGGGTGACAGAAACTTAAAACTTCTCAGTTGTGTTTGTGTTGACTGCAAATTTGAAGTTTTGTTCTACTGCATGCCTGACATGAAAACTAATTCTATTAGTGCTCAAAGTATAAAGTATTACTAACGTAAAAAGATGACACAACACAGAATGAAACACATTTACTTTAGAGCATTAACAAAATCAGTATTCCCTTCAAACTTTAAAGTGCTCCCTACTGAGAGAAGCTTCAACTGAAAAACAAGCGAATGAAATCACTACATACCAACACAATCTTCTTGTTTGTTTTCAGCTTGACATCTAAGACAGGCATCTAAAAGTAAACAAGAACAAGACTCAATTTGATTCTCAGGATTCCATCTTAAGAATAGGTTTGTCAGAGGAAAATAAAAACTCTAAAACCAATTTACAAAGGTAAAAATCCCAACTCTGATGCCTAGTTCAGCCCTTTAACATTAAATTACCCCTTAAATTTTAAAACAGGACACATGACAAAGAAATATATACCTGACAGAGATCAGAAAGACTATAAACTGTCCAACAAGTTTTGTCTATTTTCCATGACTTTAGTATTTTCATAACTTTTGATGGGAAAAAAAAAAAACAACAAGAAAACCAACCCCCCCCCCCCCCCAAAAAAAAAAAACCCTTCTCCATTTTGTAGATATAACAAGCAGCAGATCTGTGCCAAGGCACTCAGGCATACTAAGACCAGAGTAAGCACAAAGCCAAACCCTAATTACAGGACTTTGTTTTCCAGATGTCAGCATCTCCTTTTAAGGAAATCATTCACAAAATTATTTTTTTTTCTTTTTGGCTGTACATCTCTCACCATAACCCCCACCTCCTCCTGCTTTTCATATAGTGGCTTTCCTTAGTAAGTACCTGCATGCAATTTTCACAAGAGTCACATACATGTGCAAACATACTGGTCAATTTAATAATATAAATCATAGAATCATAAACAGATAAACATCAAACAGTAGCTAATTAAAAATATTTATCATCTTTATGCATTCCAGTGTGTGCCTATAGGACTGGATGGCAGGTTCAGGACTCAGTAAGATACAGAAGTTACAACTTGCAGGCTTAGCACTGTGCCACAAACATCCAGTGGAAAAATGCTTGTGTTTCTCCTTTGCCCTGCACTGGTGGCTGCAGACTTATGTGCACATACCACACACAACAGAAAGTGTTCAACTATTATGAGAGTAAACACATCTTCATCTCCTCCAAAGAAAAGGTGATAGTACTAACAAGTGTCCCACAGATTGGACCTGGCCTACATGTCATTAGTCAGACCATATTTTCCTACATGCCAGGAACATGATATGCTACAGGAATTTAGATTTGAATATTTTTGCTTTCTCTGCCACATATGGTATGTCTATTTTAGGTTTCATCTGCCCAGATACTCCTCAGTTTTGCAGGTAATAAAGAACAAAGAAGACAGAAACTCTGAAACAGTTGCCCTTTCCTCAGTGAGATAAAAGTAAGACAGGAAATAGAGGTTCCTGATTGTTCCCGTCAGGTTTTTTTCTGTGCCATTTAAGGGCCAAGATGCTGGGAAGATTCATTCAAATTGATTCAACTTGTACCATGGTACATCGAAGCAAACTGAAGGGTCACTTCACTAGCAAGCTGTGGCAGACTAGTAGTCACCATAACATCAGCTTTCCTAAGCCCTAGATTTGCAGTTTCAGACAGAGAAGCAGTACAGATAGCTAAAGACAGAAATCACTATCCACCACACCAAGGTAAGCTGTCACCACTCCTGCATCATAACCACAAAGATGTCTGAAGGGTTGAGCAAAGCTAAGTCACTACTGCTGTAATCCAGCCCTTCCCAGCTAACACCTGCATTATTGCTTCTTTCCCTTGTGCTTCTGTGATCCTTGAAGACCACACTGGTTCAAGTTAAACCAGCAGGAAATTAAGATAGCTAACACTTTCCTCCCTTGTAAAAATCAAACTAGCTTTCAATCGAGTGCCAGCTGAAATCTGGCATTGCCTCCAACCTAAGGCTCCTGCAGACGCAGTGGCTCTACAGGAGCCAGAGTGGGTCTAGCAGGGTCAATGTGAAATTGCTAAACTGAAGTAAGTAATAATCAAGTTTCACATTCTAACAATGTGGTTTGTTCTCAGAAAAAACGGTTACCAGATTTTTCTGCTAGTTTCAGATGAAAAGTATTCCCTTGGTCTAGATATGAAAAATTATAAACATGCTTTTTTATTTTATACTTTTATAAAAGCTCTGGGTAAGATTTTGTTCATTTAAGACTTTTTTTATAGTGCCCTGTTATAGGTTGGCTAGAACAGAATATTATGGTTTATATGGCAGATGAAGCCAATTTCCTATTTCCAGGGTGGTCTCTGGGTCTTTGTTCACCACATAAAAGCAGACAATCTCCAAAACATGCTTATAAAAGATGGGAATCTCCCACCACTTCAGTCTGGGCTTTTTTTTTCCTAACACACCTTTCTGCTTTTTCCATTCCAAAGAACGCTCTCAGTAAAGCATGTATGAAAAATGACAGCATTACATACTGTGTCTCAATTCTGTTAAGCCTGGCTTGATTTGCAATATCATGGCTCCTGGACCTACAAAAGCAAGCTGCTGGAGGGAATCCTGGGTCTTTTTTCCTGTCAGACTGTACCAAGCCCAAGTGAGAGGACAGTTATGTCCATGACAACTTGACACAACAGTAAAAACTGGATTAGATACATAATAGAGTAAGAATTCAAAAATTATACAAAGATCCAGGATAAATATCATATTCGTAAAAGATGTCAGAAAACAGTAATGCCACTCAACAATAAGGCTGCTCTCAAAGTGATTCTCCAGATTTCAAAACCAGATAAACTAACACCTTTTCAATAAATTTTTTGGTGCATTCACATGCGTTAAACTGCACCAGTAATTAGGAGGCTTGGGTAGAAGCGACAGAGAGCCTGGATTAACAGATTTTGGAAGTTAATTTGCATCCACATCCGCAACTGCTTTAACAGCCACCCACCACCAGCAACACCACACATCTAGCACTCTGGTCAGCTCGGCTTTAACTCAGCGCTGGAGGAGCTTGCCAACGCGCAGGAAACGGCGGCCTCCACGCTGCACGCACTCCTGCACAGCGCGGGGCGGCAGGCCAGCAGCACGCCTCCGGGCCTGGCACACACTCCCCGAGTGCCGCTCTCCTCACGCTGACAGGCCCCGGGCAGAAGCCCAGCGGGCGCTCCGGCCTCCCCCGGCAGGAGGGTGGCGCGGGAAGGGCTGCCCGCTGCCGTCAAGGGAGGGGGCTCCGGGGAGACGCTCCCCCGGCAACTGCATGCAGCCTGAGGTGACCGCCCGGGCCCGCACCCGCGTGTCGCACCCTCGGGCGCTGTGGGGCAGACCCCCGAGGAGACGGGCACCGGGTGCTGAGGGCCGCAGCGCCCTCCTTAAGGAGAGGGTGCGGAGGAGAGAGAGGAGGCGCGGCGGAGCCGCCCCCCTTCTGCCGTAAGCCGTACTTGTCTCCTCCGCCCGCCATGAGGGCGGGGCAGCGTAGGGCGGCAGTGCAGCCCCTGCCCCACCGACTGGGCGACCCCTGCCCCGCAGCGGGGGCGGCCGCCATTGCCGCCGGGGCCTGCGGGCTGGCGCTTACCCATGACCTGCACCCGGCAAATGGCGCAGGTGTCGCACTCCACATCCCAGCTCCACATGGCCACCGCGTTCCACTTCTTCAGCGAGAACATCTTGTCGGGACCGCCCGCCTTGGAGCCCGCCGAACCTGGGTGTGAGAGGGGAACACCCGGCTCGTCCCCGTCCTCTACATCGGCCATGGCGGAGGGGCGGGGACGCGGCGCCGGCGGCCGCCAGCGCTGGCCTGCAGCGCCACCTCGCGGCGGCAGCGAGGCCGCAGGCGCTGCCCCCTCCCGGCCTGTAGGCCGCCGGCGGTAACGGTGAGGCTGAGCGTGGGCAGGCGCTGCCCCGCCAAAAGGGGCGCTGCACGGTGAGGGGAGGTGACACCCCTGGAGCCTAAAAATACAAGGTATAGGTTTAGGCTAAAGGGAGCCTAAAAATGCAGTGCTGAAGGTTATAACTTTCATCCACATTATAAGAGACACAGTATGAAAATTCCTCCTGAATCCCTCTTGTGAAAATGCAACTATCTCAATATTCCAAATTCTCAGTCTACAGCCCGTAGTAGCTGAAAGTTAAGCCTTGTTAGAGAGCAGTAATCCTTCATGGAAATGATCAGTTAAGCATGTCTACTTTATGATGTCAAAGTAGGAGAGTCTGAATATACTTGCCAATGTATCAGCTTGAATTTGTGAACTGGATAGAAAAAGAAAAATCAGCTGAAAACAGATGAGAGTTGTGAAGTGCTAGAGAACTAAAAACCAGAAAGGGAATTTTAAAGTGGCTGATTACATTAAAAAAAATAGTTATATAACTATATACATCTTAAAAAGTGGAGCTTCAAAGTCTGGATAAGAGCAAAGCTAAAAAATATACATTATTTTAAAAGACAATAGAAACTTGCATTTCTTTTTAATCTTTACCAAATAAAAGTACACAAATTTTACTTTTCCAATACAGTGCCCTGTCTCTTTAAGCGTACTTTAAGATAAAAGTGTTGAATAATGTTACTCATGTACAAATTAAAATCTACAAAGTTCTATTTAAAGTTAAGAAAATTAATGGAAGTTATAAGTACTAACGTTAGAAACAGCCTCTTCTTGTCTTAACTTAATCCACACTGAAGATCTCCTGTCAGTCATGTTGCCAAATAGATCAACTGCATTCACAGTATCTGATTGCACCCAATGTATCTTTCTCTTGGCAGCTTTAGATACACATGCAGCACTTATTTTTGTATGTAGTTTCAGACATTTCTATGGAGGTACACCCTAAAGTGTAACCATCATACTCCTTGAACAGGAAGGATCAACAGCAAGTCATTACAGACATGCATGGAACAGACTACTTCACCTTAGCTTATCCACAAAGCGAGATGCTAAAGGCAAAAGTCTTCTCTATCCCTGAATAGCACGTGCACGCATACTCCGCCCCAGTTCATTGCAGCTTATCAAGTCTCTTACCACACTGCTGAAGTCTCAGTATGTCCACATTGGTTTTGGTGGTTGGGCTGAACTTGGAGCATCAGTTGGCAAAGCCAAATGGCTACAATCACGTGTGTTGCAGGTGCTAAACTGACATTCCTCATGAAGGATATTCTCTGCACACAGTATCATGAGCAGTTTTAGTGCAAGTTTCTCCAGTTGTGAATCACAGCTTCCCCTCAATGGACTGCACTACCTTCATTAAGGGGACAGAGAGGATGACCAAATCCTCCTACAAATCCAATTCTCCATGTCTCCTAAGACTGCTAACAGAGTAAGCCATACGCTTCGGCAATGGCTTACATGTTATGCACCATGGTCACAAAAATCTGGCTTTTGGTAATAAAATATAAAAATAGTTAACTCACTTTAATTATCTTTGCCTGCCTGCTGTAGTCACTCTTTTCCCTTTAATTTACAGTTTGTCTTGTCAACTCTAATTTTTCTCAACAGGGATTATCTGGAAACTGGATGCAATGATCCAAATCTAAGAGCTCATAAGAGCAAACTATGACACAGATCATAATCATGTTTGGGTCCTGCCAAAAAACCTTGCAACTAAGAGCCACATGACTTCAATAATTTGACAATGCTAGTTTTAATCTGTAACCATTTCCTCCACTGAATTGCTTCATGACGCTATAAAGCAATTTTTCCTGCACAGCTGGAGGAGGAGCAGCAAAACAAGCAGCTCAGGTATACAGAACTGCACTAGATGCTTATGGATAGAAAAAAAAAGTCAGTAAAATATCAAACATAGTTATTAAAACAATTATGATCCCTTCCTTTAAAAGTCTCTTCTCACGTAAGAAGCCATCAGCCATAACCAGTCCTTTTACCAAGCATTTCAGTTCAAATGAGACGCAGCTTTAAACTTACTCCAAAATACTGGGATATCCTTTAATAGAAGAGAGATTGCCAACATGAAACAGTTTTCAGCATTAGGATGAAAGAGATGTTTTGAAAACTATTTTTTCAAACTAGAAAGGAGGTAACTTTTGATTTGGTATACCTTTGCTCCATCTTGTCTCCTTTGCTCCATTTTCACTGTGCAATGCCAGTACTTAGATAAGCAGTGGAAGTTGTAAAGCAATTATGATACACATTCCTTTAACTCTAGGAGAAAAAAAAAAAAAAGAGAAAATAGCTCCCCAACTAGTAATTATTTTCTTTGCTATTTCATCATCTAAAGACCTGTGAGAAGAAAAAAAAAAAATCAAGTCCTTTCAGAGATAAACTGTCTTGGCTCTCTGGAGTTCATGTATTCACTGACACACATGACATTAAGGAGATCACACATGGGAAAGTGGCACAGAACACGAGGCTCATTCAGTGAATCTTCCCTATGTACTTTGTCACTGGATTTAACTATAAATAAAACCTCATTATTTCAGGTAAGGCAGAGGATGCCTGCATTTGCTTGTCTCATACAGACTTCCCTGAAAATGTTCTAAATTGAGTATCTAAATATAGGCACTCGAGAGGCTGAGGGAGCTGGGACTCTTTAGCTTGGAGAAGATGAGACTGAGGGGTGACCTCATCAGTGTTTACAAATATGTAAAGAGTGAGTGTCAGGATGATGGAGCTAGGTTTTTTTCGGTGATGTCCAGTGATAGGACATGGGGCAGTGGGTGTAAACTGGAGCATAGGAGGTTCCATGTGAACATCAGGAAAAATTTCTTTACTGTGAGAGTGACAGAGCACTGGAACAGGTTGCCCAGGGGGGTTGTGGAGTCTCCTACGTTGGAGATATTCAAGGCACGCCTGGACAAGTTCCTGTGTGATGTACTCTAGGTTACCCTGCTCTTGCAGGAGGGTTGGACTAGATGATCTTTTGAGGTCCCTTCCAACCCTTAGGATTCTGTGATTCTGTGAACCAAGTTCCTTTCACGCCATCAAATTATTTTTCAACTGGAATTGTTGCTGCTCAGCCACTTGTGTGCTATAGAATGGGAAAAAAATAACTTGTTTTGACAACTGTAAATGGGGACCAAGCATAACAGTAGGTATCCACATTTGGAATATTGTTTTATCTTATGCAATTTATAATCAATTAACTTTCTGCAATAATTTCACAGTAAGAATGCTGTGTACATTATTAAGGATTGATTCTGGATTCTAATTGTCTCCATGTCAAATAGTATTCATGCAAAGATCCGAGTGTTTGACACCCAACTTACACGATTATCATAATAGTTTTCTTTTCATACTCCTAGTCCCATTTTAGATGAATATACAGATGCATCTTTGCCTTGTAAAAACACTTTCATTCCCTACATATTTTTTAAGCTGAACATTGCACAGACACTGGTTTGGAAGCATGTACAGTGCCTTTCACATATTTTCATCAATCTTTTAAGAATGGAGATCCCTGGAAATGACCTGAATTTTTTTTTCCTCTCTTCTTTCCTCTAACAACTTTTTGAGATTTTTATTTTTCCCCACATCTCGCTTACTCTGAAACACACAACTGAATATTATTTTTACTAATAACAGAACTGTAAGGGAAATGTAATTTTTATAATAATGCAAAGAACAGTTATGTAAGCATGTGAGTATCTTGGCCAACTAATGCACATGCTGAATTGTATTATTGCACCTACTGTTTGCTCTGTCAATAGACTAACATATATCAGAATGCTTGAGTACTTTGTCCATTTATCTGCCAAAGAAAGAATTTAAGCTCACTTCTGTGTCAAAACTAGTTTTTAAACGCTAATAATCTTAAGCTTTTTCTTTAACTATAAACATAATTTTAAACTTTTAATCATCTGTGCCTATCTGTGCCATTTTGCCAATAGCAATATGCTAAACAGGGCTATTAATGGTCAGTACTCATAATATTGTGGTGGTTATAGCTGAGAGAGCGGGGCTGCAAGGGAAGAAGACAGCAGTGTACCAGCACACTAGTTATCACTTGTAACAAAACCACTTGTGGTAGCTCTTAAGGCTTTACTGAAGCTGCTTGAATCAATTGCCAAAACGGAAAATACATTTCAATGTTAATATGTAGAGCTTCTGTGAAAGAGAAGCATGAAGTGGGCATCCAGAAATAAAAAAACAAACCAGGAATTAGGGAAACATACTATATTTTTAGAATAAATTGCATACCACTTTTACACTGGAAAGCTCTCACTGGAAGAGAGACTGAAGAAATGAGAGAAATATATTGCAATGCAGAGTAGCAAATGCAGTTAAAGAAACTACATCCCCACCATTTTCCCTGTATTGCTGCTTATGCGCGTGATTTGGCATGAACTTTATAGAAGTCCAGGAATGAGTTCAAAGACAGAGAAGTACCAGTAATCGAGATTCTTAAGTGCATTACTCTTTAAGTAAAACAAATAAACATCATGACACCTAATATATAGAGAGGAAATCCTTAAAGAAGTTTTAAGAAAAAATAACTTACCTATGCATGAGAACCTTTCTGCTGTAATGAGAAAACCCTGCCTCAAATGAGACTAAATAGCTCCTGACTTTGCTGTGCTTCTTTAACCAAGTCTAAACCCTTGGAACTTCTCCACTCTTCATGCAACACCCAGGCTTACCCATCTCTCCTTCTGAAGCAGAGATTTAAAGCCAATGATGCGAAGACCCCAACTTTATCAAATTCTACACTAGGTTCTGGTTCACCAATGGTTTTACTCTTTGGTGTAAAACTCGGCTATTACTATTCCCCCCGGACAGCATGGATTTTCAAGTTAGAAGCTTGTCTCATATTTATTAAAAAATTAACTGTGAAGACAAAATGATACA